ATAATATTGCAAGTCGAGAATTAGTTGAAAGATTGGGACTAAAACAGCGGCGCCACCCTTCTCCATACAAGATGCAATTGTTAAATGATTGTGGTGCGCTGCGTGTAACAAATATTGTGACCGTTCCCTTCTCCATTGGGCGGTATAATGATCATGTGGAGTGTGATGTGGTTCCAATAGAAGCATGCCAATTGCTGTTAGGAAGACCTTGGTTGTATGACCGAGATGCTCAGATTTGCGGTCGCGCCAACAAGATTGTTCTCATGTACAAAGGAGAGCGGATCACTTTGCTTCCCTTGTCACTGGAGGAGATTGTGAGAGATGATCTGAAAAGAAAACAGCGAGCAAGCGAGAACCACTTACGAGTGACACACAAACATAGTGAAGGAGTGTTTCCAAAGCCAAATAAAACTCCACAGCTACAAAGAACCGAGCCAAAGGGAAAAGAGGGTTTAGTGATGATGGCTAGGAAGGGGGATTTAAAAGAATTGAGTGAACCCAATGTTGTGTTCTATGTACTCCTATACAAGGACAATTTTCTTGTCACTAACGACTTACCCTCTACTTTGCCTAGTGCTGTTTTTGATGTGTTACAGGAATATGAAGATGTGTTTCCTAAGGAAGTACCACTAGGGCTGCCACCAAAGAGAGGGATTGAACATCAAATCGATCTTGTTCCTGGTGCTCCACTCCGTAACCGTGCACCATATCGCACCAATCTAGAGGAAACAAAAGAAATTCAGCGCCAAGTGCAGGAGCTCATCAACAAAGGTTATGTAAAGGAAAGTCTATCACCTTGTGCTGTTCCTGTCCTTTTAGTTCCAAAAAAATGGCTCTTGGAGAATGTGTGTTGATTGCCGAGCCATTAATAACATCACCATAAGGTATAGACATCCCATACCTCGACTTGATGATATGCTTGATGAGCTTAGCAGTGCTATCATTTTCACCAAAATTGATTTGAGAAGTGGCTACCACCAAATCCGAATGAGAGAAGGAGATGAATGGAAAACAGCCTTCAAAACCAAGTTTGGGCTGTATGAATGGTTGGTAATGCCATTTGGTTTGACCAATGCACCGAGCACCTTCATGAGATTGATGAATCATGTACTTAGAACTTTTATTGGCAAATTTGTTGTTGTTTACTTTGATGATATCTTGATTTACAGCAAGTCTCTTGATGAACATATTGAACATATCCAATGTGTGCTTGCTGTCCTACGTGAACAGGAATTGTATGCTAACCTTGAGAAGTGCACCTTTTGCACCGACAAGGTAGTCTTTCTTGGATTTGTTGTTACAGGACAAGGAGTGGAGGTAGATGAAGAAAAGATCAAGGCTGTACGAGACTGGACGCCTCCATAGAACGTAAGCCAAGTAAGAGGCTTCCTTGGACTTGCTGGTTTCTATCGGCGGTTCGTGAATGATTTCAGCACTATTGCTGCACCAATCAATGATCTGACCAAGAAAGGAGTGCCTTTCAAGTGGGGAGAAGCACAACAGAAGGCATTTGAAGAATTAAAGATGAAGTTAACAACAGCCCCAGTCCTTGCACTCCCAGATTTTGGTAAGACATTTGAAGTAGAATGTGATGCAAGTGGAGTTGGGATTGGAGGTGTGCTCATGCAAGAACGAAGGACAATTGCATACTTCAGTGAAAAGCTAAGTGGTCCAACTCTAAACTATTCAGTTTATGATAAAGAATTATATGCTCTTGTTTAGAGTTTGAAAACTTGGCAACATTACCTTTTTCCTAAAGAATTTGTGATACATTCAGATCATGAATCATTGAAACACCTTAAAGGACAACTAAAACTGAATAGAAGGCATGCAAAATGGTGTGAATTCATTGAGTCATTTCCCTATATTGTCAAGTACAAGAAAGGAAAAGAGAATGTTGTAGCAGATGCTTTGTCTCGACGTCACACTTTGCTAACCCAACTTGACACTAAGATTCTTGGATTAGAAAGCATAAAAGATTTATATGCAACTGATTCATATTTTGCTGAACCATATTCCAAGTGTCGAGAAGGCAAAGGATGGGAAAAATTTCATGTGCATAATGGGTTTTTGTTTCGAGCTAACAAACTCTGTATTCCAGATTGCTCTATTCGAATTTTATTTGTGCAGGAAGCCCACGCAGGAGGACTCATGGGACATTTTGGTGCCAAGAAGACAGAACAAGTCCTTACTGACCACTTCTTTTGGCCCAAGATGAGAAGAGATGTGGAGAGACATGTTCTTCGCTGCGAATCATGCCACAAAGCTAAGTCTCGTGTGAACCCACATGGATTATACACTCCTATGCCTATCCCTAGTGTGCCTTGGGAAGATATCTCCATGGATTTTATCCTTGGTTTACCTCGAACCAAGCGGGGAAGGGATTCCATCTTTGTTGTGGTTGATTGTTTTAGCAAAATGGCACATTTTATCCCATGCCACAAGAGCGATGATGCTTCACATATCGCTGCATTGTTTTTCAAAGAAGTTGTACGACTACATGGAGTGCCACGAACCATTGTTTCTGATTGTGACACCAAATTTTTGAGTTACTTTTGGAAAACTTTGTGGGGAAAACTTGGAACACGGTTGCTATTCTCTACGACGTGTCATCCACAAACAGATGGACAAACTGAAGTTGTGAACTGTACTCTATCAATGCTACTGCGAGCTATCCTCAAGAAGAACTTGAAACTTTGGGAAGAAAGTTTGCCACATGTCGAGTTTGCATACAACAGGGTAGTACACTCGACCACTAAATTTTGTCCATTTGAAATCGTATATGGGTTTAAACCCACTGCTCCCATAGATCTTTTGCCTTTACCTATGTAGGAACATGTAAACTTCGATGTAAGCAAGCGAGCCGAGTTTGTCAAGAACCTTCATGATAGAGCTTGGACAAACATTGAAAAGATGACCAGGATGTATGAGAAGCACGCCAATAAAGGTCGAAGGAAGGTGTTATTTGAACCAGGAGAATTGGTTTGGGTGCATTTACGCAAGGACAGATTTCCTGAACAACGCAAAAGCAAGTTGCAAGCCCGAGCTAACGGTCCATTCAAAGTGCTACGCAAGATCAACGACAATGCTTATGAAATTGATCTGCCAAGTACTTATGGTGTGAGTACCAGTTTTAATGTGGCCGACCTCTCTCCATTCTTTGGATTGGAAGAGTCGAGGACGACTCTTTTTCAAGGGGGGGAGGATGATGTGACCACGCCAGCGTCGGAGACCTCGATGACCTTTCCGACCACCTCTCCGACCACTCCGGGAACCTCGGCGACCACTCCGACCACCTCTCCGACCACCTCGGGAACATCGGCGACCTCTCCGATCACCTCTCCGACCACCTCGGCGACGTCTTCGACCACCTCACCGACCTCGGCGACCTCTTCAGCTGATACACCACTCCAAGTCCCTACTGGACCAATCACCCGTAGCCGCGCCAAAAAGATACAACAAGAGGTGCACGCGCTACTTTGTGAATTTCAATTAAACATTGATGGTAATTTCGAGCTATCTAAGTCGTGCATGTTGTTATTACTCAGGTTCTCCGAGAAGAAAGACAAAGATACATCAAGGATGGATCAGAGAGATCTTGAAGCCTAGTCTCCAATGCTATCATACCGACCAGTTTGGAGTGTCCAGCGTGGCGTCCGACCAGTTTTAGTGAAGACTGCTCCGAAGCTCAAAAGTCTGCATGAAGCTAAAGATCCCAAGCAAAATTGAAGGAGTTATGGACCAAAATATTGAAGATTGCACAGAAGCCCAGAAGACGCGTGGAAACTGAAGACCACGTCATGAATGCTCTAGCCCGTTGTCCTTCCACCTTCCAACGTGGCTTCTTCAGTTCATATCTATCTTAGAGACTTCTCATAGTATAAATACCACCTCTAGGCTACTAGAAAAGGATCTTTTTTTGATAAATTGATAATTCCAGTGATATTGCAGCCGAGCTGCCGAGTGCTTACTCAAACCCTTGTTCTTTCTTGTCCTTCCTGGACTTGTGAAGAGATTCCTTTGGGATCCACTAGTTCGTGCTTTGCGAGTTCCAGTACGGCTGCCCTGCCTTGTGTGGATTAGCTCCGGTTGTGGTTCTGCGGTCGTTCGGAGATCGAGTCGAAGTCTTCGTGGTTTCGGTGCCTCTCTCCCCGTCGCTTGGTCGCATCCAACCTTGGCCAGGTATAAAGCTAGTTACTCCGCTGTTCTTCAGCAAGTTACCTTTTTGATTTCCGCTGCCTTGTTGCAAGTTATCTTGTTCGAGACCTACTGTCGTGAGATCGGGCCAACTCCCGTACTGAAATAGTTTCAGTATCTATCACCTGGTCAAAACGCGACTCAGAAACTCACGTAAAACTACCAGGCCACAGGCTGCAGCAGGAAAAAAACAAAACCAAAAGGCCCATACAACCATACCAGCCTCTTGAAGGCCAGTCGGAGGGGGCCCTAAAATTTTGGGGCCTACTACTGTCGCTCCACTTGCACTAGGTCAAATGCGGGCCTGAGGACCGGTTAGGGGCCCTGCGGTCCTCAAATCCACCTGCGAACATTTTGTCAAACACTTGTAGGCACCAATTTTGTAGTCAATACACATGCAACAATTCAGCCTCAAATCAAACCCACTACTATTCTGCGTTTCCAACTCCATGACCATACCAAAGGCCCCAAGGAATCGTCTGTCCCTCTGATACCAGTTATAGTGACACAACATCACAACTCCATTACAAGCACACGAATTCTGATGATAATATAATCTGATACAACTGAGATGGAATGGAATTCGAGAAGGAAAGCACAGCAAAGGGCTTGAGCATAGGAGAGAAAGGAAGCGCTGATCCCGAGCATACACCTGAATTTTATGGTATTATTAATCGCGGATATTGGAATTGTATGAGAACTAGACAAAAGTTCCATATCTTGATCCCGAGCTCCGACAGCGACTCGATCCTGACATACAAAAAAAAAAGAACATCGCCGATCAAGTATTCATCAACTTAGCCATGACGCGAAAGCGACGGAGATCAGGAAAGACCGCGCGCAGGTCCAACGCCGCCGGCCTAACGGCGCTTGCGCTCTGCTTCACCAGGCAACTACAACTACAAGCGCCCGCCGCCGTCGTCGCGGGGGAGCCGGCGGGCGGCCCTAGCACCGCCGCCGGCAACCTCGTCTTCTCGCCGGTGGTGACGCGCTCGGCGGAGACTCCGGCGACGACCTCGCTGCGTTCGCCTGCCGCGCCGCGGAGCGCGCACTCGCGGACCGGTAGGGCGGTGGGCCGGCCGTCGCGTTCGCGTGCGGCGCGTGGCTCGACGCCGCGTGGGCGCTCCTGCCGGCCTTCCGCGACGCCGCTGCCGCCTCCTACAACGCCGAGGCGCGCGCCGTCGACTTCAGTAACGAGGTGAGATCTTCTACTAGTGTAACGTGTATACGGATCTAATCGAAATCATCCCAATTCCTTTCGGTTCTTGTACATTATTATTAATTAATGGATTGCACTGAAACAAAATTTAATTTTTCTCTCTTTCGTGAAGCCGGAGAAGGCGGTTGGCGAGATCAACGGCTGTTTGGCGGCGGCGACCAACAATCACAATCTCACATCGACTCGATCCTTGATCCAAGCTCAGTGGACACACTCACAACCCTCGTGCTCTGCAGCGCCATCTACTTCAAGGGCAGATGGGAGGCGCCGTTCGCCAAGGTGCACACGGTGGTGGACAAGTTCTACCGCCTCGACGGCAGCACCGCCGACGTGCCCTTCATGTGCTCGGTGCGGAGCCAGTTCATCGCCGTCCGCAGCGGGTACAAGGTGCTCAAGCTCCCATACAGATCGCCGGCACCGGCGCCAGCACCACGACGTAAGGGGTCAACAACATCAGAGAGCAAGCCCGGCCCCGGCGACGGCGATGACGACCCCGCCCCGAAAGACTCCATGTGCATCTTCCTGCCGGACGAGCACGACGGGCTCCCAGGTCTCGTCGAGAAGATCGCCTCCGGCCCCGGGTTCTGGCACTACCGCCTGCCGACCTTGCAGGTCCCCGTCGGGGCCTTCCGGCTGCCGAGGTTCAAGCTGTCCGTCTCCAGCAGCGTGAGGCAGGTCCTGAGACACGGCATGGGGATCGAGTCCGTTTTCGTTGCTGGTGAAGCTGACCTGGCCGACATGGCGGCCAAGCGCGACGAGGACGACGCCGCTGGCACGCCGCTGTACGTTGCGGACGTCTGCTATAAGGCGGTGCTGGAGGTGAACGAGGGAGGCACCGTTGCCAATGGTGCCACCACCAGCTATATGCTCTGTGGGGCAAGTGCGGTGATGAATCAGCCGGTGAAGGTGGATTTCGTTGCTGACCACCCGTTTATGTTCTTTGTGATCGAGGAGGTGTCTCGTGCTATCGTCTTTGTTGGCCGCGTCCTCGACCCTTCAATTTCAGGGTGATGGTCTTCTGGAAGTAAGGTTCTGATACTTCATATTAAGTGCACTAATATGTGGACGTGTGGCCTAGTAAACTGTCAGTAGGGTTCGAGTTGCCTCCATATAAGTCAGAATTTCTTCTTGACATGTCTCCATCTTAAAATATCTGTCGTTTTCGTTTCCCGAAAAACAACTTTGACAAAACATATATTAAAAAATATAATGTTTATGGTACATAATTAGTATTATTGGAAAGATTTTTGAATATAACTTTTTAATAAATTTATTTAGAGATACAAATGTTATACGTATTTTCTACGAATCGAGTCAAACTTGCGGCACGAAAAACAAAAATGAAAAGTAATTTAGGACAGAGGAAGTATAGTGACATGAAACGATTGAGCAGATGACAATATATATTCCCTCTGTCCCTAAAAGAATGAATTCCTAGCAACTTTAGACAGATTAGTAACGAAGATAAAAGACCATGCTATCCCTCATTGAACCACTGAACCTTAATAGCTCTCTAGTTACCGAGAAGCCTAATTAAATAGTGTCGTTTGAAGTATCCAATAGCAGCGCAGGAGAGAGATGTTAAATGCAACCCAAACTACGAGAGATTAACGTGGATCCATGAACCATTCACCTCTAGAAATCGATTCTTTTAGGGAATTTTTTTTAGCTACAAATTAATTTTTTTCGGTACAGAGAGAGCATACACCTGCTGAAGTATCCGGTTTGTGGTTCCTCCGATCAAATTCATCTTCATCCTGGTGAGAGCTGTTGGATTCAGATCATGTTCCCCATATTTTTATAGTGTAAGTTATCGCTTCTGACAACATCGACAGGGGGGAATTTTGTTTCCTTTGCATTCTTGTTACTGAAACCTTGGTAAGCACTAGTTTGGACGTAAATTGGACAAAGGAACACCCAAACATCACGTAAACCATGCCAAGGCCACACGATTTTTGACAAAACAAATTTTGATTGGGGATAAACTTAAGATCTGTTTGGGACATAATTTTGTAACATAGTAATCAGATATGTTGGATTCTAATATTCCAACCGATAGTGTTGTAATCTTATGATCTATCTCTAACCTACTAATTGGAGATTATAGGTTAATAGACAATAATCCAGTCCCTATAACAGAGATCCAAGTAATCAAGATTATAACAATCCAATTCATAATCTAGATTATAACAATCCAATTCATAATCTAGATTCGTAATAATGCAAAATGTGGTCCAAACAACCCTATTCATAGTTTTATGCCTTTGGGTCACCCCACCCCTGTGGGTGTGCTCGACATTTGAATAGTTCAAACATTGGCACTATTGGCCCTGTTTTCTTTGCTAAAAAGGAAAGTACTATTCGTGATTTGATATGAAAAAAACACTGTTTATTCACTAAAATAGTACAGCTCATAAGACAAGCAAACAAAACCAAAATTTGATCGTGCATTTTCCAACTTCAACCCTAATTTTTTGTTAACAAAATATATTATGTTTTATCTCCACAAGAAAAATATTCGTTAAAACAAAATATATTAAGTTGAGGTATTATTTTAAAGATTTACTGTAAACAATGCAATGCTACAGTTTTATTGTGATGCTGGGTTTGTCAACTACGGATTTTGTAATTAAAATTCTTTAAAATCCCAATACTTTTGAGCATGAGCTAGTAGCACGCTTATGAGCTAGGGGCTGCTCGCAGGATATTTCCCTGGCTTGTTAGGCTCGCAAGCATGGACAATTACAGTGTCGTCTAACGATGGCTCACCTCATTTTCAAAAAAAAAAAAAAAGGACAAGCCCCCAAATTAACCGAGTCCACGAGCTAGCTAATTTGTCCTAGTGATGGGAGCAGTTCTAACTGATTATCATCAGTCCCTCAAATCAGATGGCAAACAATGCTGCACGTAACTGCAGTCGTGCAAATACATACAATTGAGAAACATCTCATTGAGGATGCGGCCGAAAAACATTCGGCAGCTCTTTGAAACGTTTTGCGTTTGAGCTGGAGCTTTACCGCTCTACAAATCGTTCAGCCTCAAGAATACAGCCGAAAACAAATATATAACACTAAAATAATGCATACATATATATAATAAATAAATAAAGTTTCAAATGGCTTCTGGAGACCACAAAATTCAGTTCCAACAATGATTATCACATTTATTCTGATCCATGCAATCTAAATCCAGTGTAGCTTCTGGAGACCAAGAAATTCAAATCGAACAATTGTGATCACTTTTATCACATTTATTCCGAGCCATGCAATTTAAATCCAGTGTACCACAATTGGTAAACTATTGCCAATGACCAGGGAGGAAAAGCAACATTACTGAGAAAGAGGCAATAACGAGTTGATTATGATCTTATGAACTTTCTGGGAAAAGAACTTAAGCACGTGAAATATGTTTGCCAGAATGCTACAATAAAACCATGAGGGTGAATTGAGCACGGCAATCAAGCAACGGATGATATAGGCAACAGGGAAAAAAAGGAAACCAAAGTAAATATTGGTAACCTTGGCAAAGTTGCCTGAAAAAATTTACAATGGTAATCAGAAACCAAATTAGTATACATGATCACACTTGGATTCAAAATATTGAACTAGTTGATGTTTGCCAGAATGCCTACAATAAAACCATGAAGGTGAATTGAGTGCGGCAATCAAGCAATGAATGATATAGGCAACAGGGAAAAAAAGGAAACCGAGGTAAATATTGGTAACCTTGGCAAAGTTGCCCGAAAAAATTTACAATGGTAATCAGAAACCAAACTAGCATACGTGCTCAGAAGGGGTAAACATTAACACACCTGGATTCAAAATACAAGGCAAAATCTCAAAATAATGTCACTAATGGAAAAGCAAATAGATTACACAATGTCACGCAAAAAGAACCTGATTATGCTGCGGAATGGAAGAATACATGAGAATTCATAGCACTGCAAGTTTCATACAACTTCGCAAGTGAAATGTAATTTTACTAAACAATGTTGGCAAGGATGCTCATCCATGAAACCAAATAAAATAGCTCATGGATTGGAAAGTTCAAACATCCAGTAGCAACAGTGATTTTGGCAACAGGGAAAAAAAGGAAACCAAATTTATAGTTGGTAACCTTGGCAAAGTTGCCGTCCGAAGTAATGAAAAGATTTTTTTTGAGAAAAACACAAGGCGTAACTTAAACACCAAACTAGCAAAATTTACTACTTTAAGAGCATTGCAAATATACTCAATTAAACAAGCAATGGGGTACAGAGTAAAACAACTTTGACCAGATCATGTTGCAACTTTCTTGACAAAGGGAAGACTGCAGCCACAAAGCCATAAGCAAACAATAATTTAGGCATTTGAGTAAAGCTTAAAGCAGATGAAATCTGAACTAGCTATTATAATTTATAAGACAGCAGATGGTAAAGTACAGAAAGAAATGGGGATATTCATCAAGCTAATAAAGGCCACGGCATGGACCTAAAACTAGAATTTAGAAACAATAGGTTGCATGTAGATTCAATTAACCTGAACTAGCAACCCCCCAGACTGCTAGGCTCACAGATTTGGGATGGTGTCGGGTGAGTTGGATCACATGAACAGGTTGGGCCTTGAAGCCTTGAAGGTGGTCTTCAGCTTCCTGGTCGGAGGCCTGACTTTGCGGTAAACCAAAGGAAACTTAATCTTTGAATTGTGGAACTGCTTGGTGTTGTCCCTCTTGCAGAGCTTGAAGTCAACTGTTGCCGTCTTAATGATCTGGATGCAGGGTGACCTCACGCGGTGACGGGAAGCCATCTCATTGTACATCTGCTCCACGGCACCATTCAGGGTGGTATCACGGTACTCCTTGTACATGTTGTGGTACCCAGTCCTGCTCTGGTAACGCAGCCAGATGCCATAGTTCTTGATTGTGGTAGGGTTACGCTCAAAGATCTGTGAAAGATCAAGCAAGTTTTGAAGCAGACATGAAAAAGAAAAGAAACACTACACTTAAATTTGCAGACAACAAGTGCTTCAAGAGACAATGATGAACAGAAACAAATTTTCTACAGCCCTAGATAATACAATTTCCCCATTGGCTCTTGGAAGACAATTAACTCTACGATTGCAAACCCATTCTCATTAGTTCTGGTACAGCAACATCCACCTAGGGCTAGTCAAAATGCAACATTTGAATTTAATCAAAGAGCAACATTTCTGAAGTAATCAAAGAGCAAACCAAATCCCCACGATCCAACATTTGAACAAAACAGATGACAATGTTCATCACTACAATTTCAGAGTTCAACTAAAACAGGCCTGCCTATGATACTCACTTCTAAATTTGGGCAGCATTAACCATTCATCTATTGCATTTAACCAATCAACAATGATGGAATGTAGTGACTAGTGGGGCAGGGCATCAACTTCACAATATAAATAAAATCAGCAAAAGCAACACACTAACAGAACCTACCGACCAAATGTTTGAAATACGAAACCCATTAACGCAAATTCATCAAATAGATCAGCATTAACAGTAAGAGAACTGGTTGTATTGTACCTCGTTGATAGCGAGAACCTGACCGTTGCTCTTCTTAACCTTCTTGAGCTTCCTCAAAAAGTACCTACGCGCGCACAAGACCCAAGCCATTGTCACGAAACAGACACCAAAGCAACAAAATAAGCACGGTATCATCGTCAACTAGACTACAAGGCACTGACCAGAACTTGGATTTGGAGCGGACCTCGTTGGTAGCCCAGAGCTTCATGCGGTAGATCTTGGGGTGCTCATCAGCGGGGGTTGGCAGCGCGCGACCCACCACCTGGTACTGATGGAACTGCAGGGTCGAAGAAACAAATTACACAAAAGCGGCCCAGATCAGCAGCCGCGCCGGTAAGAGGAACAAAGCGGTGGATTGAGAGCAGGCGGAGAAGACGGCGCCGCCGAAAGAAGCTTACCCTGTGGGCGACCATTTTGGCGAGCTCCCCGCAGCTGGAGGCGGCGGAGAGGAGACCTAAACCTAACCGGGGGTGATATGG